CTCTCTCTCTCTCTCTCTCTCTCTCTCTCTCTCTCTCTCTCTCTCTCCCCGATACGTGGTGGCAATGACATTAGTATCTGCAACGGATTGCAACAGTCGCATCAATCATCGAGCTAACATCCACTCTTCAAAAACAAACTCAGACAAGAAACGTATAGAGCAGTGAACTCAGACAAGAAACGTATAGAGCAGTGGAGGCAAAAGCACAGAGAAATCTCTTTTCCAAACCTAAGTTTCACAGAGAGCCAATTTCCACACCTAATTTTCTCTCACTTGTTTAAGACAAATCCCTTTCCCCACCTGACATTGTCACCATTCTCTCACATGCCAAAAGAATCAATTCCTTCACACGGCCTCCAAACTCATGATATCGTGACAATCCCCCTAGCACCCCCCGACTCCCCCCCAACTCCACACCCACACAGGAGGGAGGAGGAAAAGAGAGACAGGTGGGCAGAGATATAGAAAGGAGGGCACAGAGAGAGACAGAGAGAGGAATTTATACCCACAACAGTGCACACCATTACACGACGTAGCGTAAGAGCAAATAGGGAAGGAGAGGCATCCGTAATAAGCAGGGAGCGGGGACACAGATCCAAAGAAGCAGAGGGTTAGAAGAAGAAGACATATACAGTCATAAACATGTGACAAATTTGGAAACCACAGTGAAGACCCCGTTGAAATAAAATAACTTCGAAGAGATACAAGCAACCGACCGACGGGCTTCACATATCTCCATTCACCTGAACTGATCTATCACATTCCTGACATCCCACCGCAGCAAGCCGGGAATCCGTGCCCTGGAAGAAACTAAAAAGGACACCCCCCCTTGCCCAGTTCAGGGGAAGAGCTCATGCCATATGCCGATCCGCAGACAGAAGTCTCCGTGTTAGCAGAACTTCACGGAGGGAGAAGGGGAGGGGGGGGGGGGGGGGGGAAGACAGGCTTTCAAAGCAAAGATCCCCCAAAGCCTCCCTTCTCCCTCCCTCCCCCCCCCATTTCGACCCCTCGTCGCCAGACTAGCAAAAACAGATGACTAACCACATCACCTCCCTCCACCAACCCCACAATTCCCCCCTCCTTCCCCCCTCTACCCCCCATTCGCCCCCTCGTTGCCAGACTAGCAAAAAAAAGAACAACGATGAAAATCACAACAGGGCATGGGCATGGGGGTTAAAAAAAAAAACAGGCTCCTGCTGCAGCACAAGTCCCCTCCCTCCTTTAGATGGACTCTTTGTAAAAAGAAACTACTGCCGCTAAAACAGCATCAAAATCACTTGCGCAAAAAAAAAAACAAAAAAAAAAACAGCCTTGATAGGCTACCTTTCCACAAGCCCCCCCCCCCCCCCCC